GTGTGTGTCCATGTGTGGGTGTGTGCAGCCATGAATCGGGAGACGGAGAAACTCATAAGACCTGAAGTGTTAATTAAAGCGTGACCCTGGGACAGGAGAGAGCATGAGCGGCGTAGAGACGGGGCAGAGTGAGGGAAGCGAGCGAGAGCGAATTGGAGGCGTACGGTGGAGTAGGAGGACTGATCTGACATTGTGATTGGCTGAAAGGCAGTGACAGATTGTGGAAGACGAGGGAATATTGCGTGTGGCCCATTTCCTGAACAATATGACTGATCTGAATGGCTGGAACTTTTTGAATCTTTAATGTTTAAGGATAAGTGCCGTCCTATTTTATCCTCTTATTATTATCAAGAACCCCCCCGGAAGAGATCAAAATCAACAATGAAGATGAATGAATGACTATAATAACATATGAATGTGTAGCTAAAGCCTGATATATTTTTCTCCGTTCCAGAGAACTCTTTTATCGTCCAAAAACGATTAAATATACATCAGAGCTGTACGGTTTCACTGGGCAATGTTCCATCATTTCAGGCAGTGTGACCAGTGTGTGGTTTAGCCAGAAACACCTCAGAGACTTTTTTTTTTTTTTTGTCTCCAGGGAGCAGCTCGGGGTCAGGCAGATGTCAGTGAACATGCTCAGAGGCACGGTTACTTGTTTACACTGCTTTGTTGGCTTAATGAGAATGAGACCACAGTGGCTGCGTTCACTGTAATGAAGAAGTGTCACCCACGGCCATGATGTGTTCATGTCTTTTTGCTATCGTAGTATTTATTAATGGCAGAGAAGTATAAGTTATATTAGACTTTGGTTATAGAGACAGTAGGCCACTGGTTAATGAGATTTGCGGATAATATTTACGCTGGTGTTTTGTTGACATTTTACTTCCTGTTTGTTTGGGGTCCCACAAACCTCAATTGGGAAATCTTTCTTTTTCTTCCTTTAAGTACTTTGTTGTGGTATTTTTTGACCTTGTTAAAACTCAAGAGGAATTTTCCCTATCTGATTTTGATAAAGGAAAAATATTGTTACTACACATATGTATTTATGTTACATGAAACATGGATTCATAGCAATACCTGTGTATCTTCCCTTTGATTGTTATTCTGTTATATTATGAAATAACAGAAATCCAAATAGATTTTTTGGTCAATTCAGGATGGGAATTAACAAGAATAGTGTGTCCCTTACTGTAGCTGATTTCTGAAACAAGCTGTCATCTACAAAACATGTTTTAAAGTAATTCTTCTCAAATTTGGAGGCACAAAGTAGAAATATGTTTGCCGAGCTTTTAAAGAGGACATGTGCAGTCATGTGAGGTTGTAAGTTCATCCCTTGGAAATTACTGCCTTTTTCTTTGGCATATTTGGACTTTTAATGTCATTTATTCAACCAAAAATATCAATAGATTGTAATGTTTTGTGGAAAAATGATGTTCACCCTTGGCTTCACAAGCTAACATTGCCAATTTAGCAACTTCTTGTAGTTGTTTTGCTTTCTGACATTTTGGACCACTCTTGTGAAAAAAAATTCCTTCAGTTGGAAATTGGTTTTCTTGTATTTACCTGCCTGTTTCAAATCCCCTCAACATTTCATTTGGATTCAGATCTGGACTTTGACTAGACCCTCAATTTATAGTTGAATCAGTGACTGCAAGCTGCTGTCCAGTCCCTGAGCCAGAACATTTCCACCATCATATTTCACAGTTGGTTTGAGGTTCTTTTCAACAAACACGTCTACATGTTAGTGGCCAAACAACTGTATTTTTAATTTCCCTGTATAGAGCACATTATTTTTAAAACGCCTGTATGTTCAAGTGATAGTTTGGCTCTTTGTGGGCAGCAAAAGCTTTTTTCCCGGCACCCCGACCATCCAGATCAAATCTCTGCAATCTTTTTCTGATTGTTGAAGCGACACTTTGACGGCAACATTTGCAACAGTTACCTGCAGATTCTGTGATGAAAGTCCCCGGAGGCTTATCTTTGCATCTAATGGTTCGCTTTTGGGCAGCTCAAGTGGTCAGTCCTGGACAAACAGGCGGTCATTTGTGGATTATTTTCTGCACAGTGGAATGATTCATTTCAAATAACTTGAAGGTATTTTCGAATCCCTTGTCAGACTCGGAGGCATTCAAAACATTTTTCCTGAACACCTTCAAGAGCTCTTTAGATCTCGGCATGATGACACACACACATAGACTTCAATCGTAAGGAAAGCATCAGTCCGTAGATGTCAGAGGTTTAATAAGACAGCCTCAACCTGTCTAAGGAGGTTCTAATTATTGGCGGTAATAGAAAAAAAAAGAGAGAGAGAAAAAAATGTTTTTTTCATTCTTCTTATAAAAAATGTTGCAAATTTGGTGAAAAATCTAGTGCATTTCAGCCCACAGACAGAAACCTTGACTAGCATTTTAGAAATTCCTAACATGTTGACTGTGCGGCGCTCCACACTGACTGTTTGTCTGTGTTTATCTGTACATTTTTCTCTGTGCCTGTCCATCTCTGTACATCAATCTCTCCCTCTTTTCTCTCCACAAACACCGCACCTCTTCAGCCGCAGGAGCTGACAGATATTTTGGAGATCAGTAACATGGTGTTCACTAGTCTCTTCAGTCTCGAGATGCTGCTGAAGCTCCTGGCTCTCGGGCTCTTTGGCTACATCAAGAACCCTTACAACGGCTTCGACAGCATCATTGTCATCATCAGGTGGGGGCTCCGTCTGGGGGGAAACCTTTGTCCGTACATTTACCTCAAAATGGGAATTCTGTCCTTAAGTATTGTTCTTGTCATTGGAAAGTCCTCGCGGTCCTTGCGACAAGGCTCTCCAGCTACATCTCCCAAACTGTCACCCTGATGTTGGTTCTGGCAGCAGAGCCAAGAGGCTGCACTCACAGTCCAGAGGGCCTGTATTCACTCTATTATGTAGTACTACAAGCTAAATTATGTATCTGTGTTTGAAGGCCTTGCTTGTTTACTGTGCCAGTTCACACTGCTCTTGCATTCTTCATCGGCTGGTAAACAGCACTGCCTCACTTGGTTTTTTCACTTGCCACATTTCACATGAAAAGGAATTTAACACTTCCCCTACCTAGAGGATTTTTTTTTTGTGGGTGGCACTAATGCTGATTTCAAAGTAGATACAGGCAAAGTTAAGTAGATATTGATTCCTTGGCTGCTTTAATGCGAATTCAATGCTGTGCTTACGATCTGCTTGTCGTGTGTGTGTGTGTTTCAGTGTGTGGGAGATTGTGGGTGAGGCTGAGGGAGGCTTGTCAGTGCTGCGTACATTTCGTCTCCTGAGAGTTTTGAAGCTGGTCCGGTTCCTTCCCGCCCTGAGGAGGCAGCTGGTGGTGCTGATGAAAACCATGGACAATGTGGCCACCTTCTGCATGCTGTTGATGCTCTTTATATTCATATTCAGGTATATTCTTTCTTTCTTTGTAAGAGGGATTCTGCAGGCGGAGGCTCACAAGCCAAAGTGTTCTCTCAGCTTTCTGTCAGCTTCAATTATTCTGATATTTCCTTATAGAAATCCTAACGACCACCACTGACCCTTTTAGCTCCTCTGTTATTAGACATATTACCACATGTGTTATCACCATTCACACAAACACAATTATTCATACGAGCGGCATGACTGCATCTTGTTGCACAGTAGCCATATTAAATTACCGTGTAATGAAAGTATTTTCTCTTTGTCCTGTTTGTGTGCGCGTGTGTGTGTGTGTGTTGCAGTATCTTGGGGATGCATCTGTTCGGCTGTAAATTTGGTTTGCGACAAGACAGTGGAGACACTTTACCTGACAGAAAAAACTTTGACTCCCTGCTCTGGGCGACTGTCACTGTCTTTCAGGTTTGACAAAAACACTCTCTCACACACACAGAAAGAAACACACCAAATACATCAACAATCTGTGATTTAGAGGAACCTCCTCACTGATAAATTACCATGAAATTTACTTTTAAAATTAACAGGGATGAGATTCAGACAGCAGCTGCTGCTGCTGTCACCATCGGTAGCCCTGACGATCGTCTCCATTATTTCATTTGCTCCAATTTGGAAGTGCTCATGCTCGATTTTTCAACAAAATATAAAAACTCTCCCAGTGGGCAGATAAGATACGCTTCAGAAGCAGAGGGGGAGGAAGAGTAATGAAACACGCACTCTACAGGAGCTCATTTAACACTGATGAGCATCGTTCAACTGACAATGAGATAATAAAGGAGGAATACACTTGCGTTGTTTTTATTAAGCTTGGAACACTTACTAGCATCACAGGTTGCATTTCAGGTTGGTGTTGGTGGTTTGACTGTGTGTTTTTTCTTCTCCCCACATCTCACGCCTCCCTCCACATCTCCTCTAATGTGCAGATCCTCACCCAGGAGGACTGGAATGCAGTGCTCTATAACGGGATGGCCTCCACCACGCCGTTGGCTGCCCTCTATTTTGTCGCCCTCATGACCTTTGGCAACTACGTCCTCTTCAACTTGCTTGTAGCCATTTTGGTGGAGGGCTTTCAAGCTGAAGTAAGGGCAAAGATGCGGTTTTATTTGAGCTACTTAGAGAACAAGGCAGAGAGAACGAGACTAATTGAGCTCTGTTGTGCTGATGATACCAAAGCTGCCTACAAGAGAATAATCTCCACCATCCTGCTTGTGTAGTTTCTCCTCTCTCTCGCTCTCTCTCTCCATCCGTCACTCTTTTTTTTCTCACTTTCCCTATCCCCTTTTCACTCTTCCTCTATCTTTCTTTCTCGCTGACACACACGCACACACACAATACTCTCCGGGGTAGGGATGTGTTTGATATCGCCTGCCATTCACAGCTGGTGAGCTTTTGTTGTTTAGTTTTCATCTTTTATCTCCAGCATCAGAGAGCACTTGCTCTGTCTCTATAACACACACACACACACACACACACACACATACAGACACCCTTTGCCAAAGCCGTCTGCCTCCATCTTTCTGGCGTGAATTTTAATTAAATTCAGTAAAGCTTTATTGGCGTGACTACAGGAGATCGCTGCCAAAGCCATGCACATAACTCAACTAGAGAACACTGGAGATTCCCTCCGCCCGTCTGCCTTCCGCTCTTTGTCCCTCAGTCTTTCCCTCTTGACTCTTTCACTTTTTACAACAGTCAACAGACAGCAAGAGAAGGAAGATGACGACGGTGATGATGATGATGATGGTGATGATGATAAAGATTATGATGATAGTGGTAATCAGGGTGCTCTGTGTGTGTTTTCAGGGTGATGCCAACAGATCTGAGGCTGATGATGAGAGACAATCCATCTGTTACGAGGATGAGGAGAAGCTCAGGGAGCTGTACGCTGCAGGTACAAAACACTCACTGTATATAAAAATAGACGAACCTTCTGTGACGTCAGCCACAGGTTTCCTAAAGAGCGGTTTTGTAGCTCAGTGTGGTGGCTCCCGTCGCTGCTGTCTCCTGACTAATCCGAACACGAGCAAAGAGGCGGAGCTGAAGGGCCATGAACTGTCCTTTCAGGGTCAAACCTGTCACTCAAAGCGGCCGCACACTGATTATGCATACTTTAAGCATTTTTAGAATTCAAATAAATGAGTTATATAACAAGATTCCCACAGCTTACAGTTATCATGAACAGGGAAGTTAATGATAGAGTTTTTTGTATCAGGCTGTAAAAATGTTCATTTTCGCTGTAAAGCTGAGCATCTAACATGGCGGTCTATCGTCTACGCTCACATTTGAAGCCAACCTCAAGTGACTCTTTGAAGAACTACAATTTTTGGCTTTATTTTCCACTACTGGAGACTGCCGCTGGGTACAAACTCATAGATCAGCTTGACATGAAAATACAAACGAACCTGCAATCACTTTAAAGGAGAGTTTTTATTACAACTTGAACATATGTCATTTTGTTCACCTTGAAATGCGGTGACATTGCTACAACAGAATCAGACACAAACACAAGCACATGATCATACTAGTTATAAACAATCCTTAGAGTTATTTTAAAGGAACAGTACAAGTATGACCTGAACTGGCTGTCATAAACATCAGCTTGTAGATCATTTTGCTTACTTTAAATTTGATCTATTGTACTTGACGTAGAGTCCATAAAGCAGGCATTCCCAAACTTTTTGGCCCCTGACCCGTGAAATACCAGTGCCAGGGACTCACAACCTTCACTGTCTGCAGAGGTGATACAAATATTTTACAGTAATTTAATAAAGGCTAGGAGCAGAATACATCAAAGTAATCTCCATGTATAAAATGTAGTACTTAATTCACATCAGTGTGTAGAAGCAGCTGACTCAAATGTGTGCGCGAGTGTCTGTGTTTGTGTATCGAGCAGCATTTAACTACTTGTTTTACTTTATTAATTACACTATTAATCTTTTTTTTTCTAATCATTTTCAAATTTTATTTGATTTTAATGATTTTGCTTTTATAACGAAGAAACCTTTCTTATTTAGAGGTCATTTGGTTAAAATTCTCTTCACCCTCAAACAATTTATTAATTCTTTAAAAGTGTTTGTAATTTTTGGATACTTTCTCATGCTTTAGTCATTTATATAATTCATTCCTCATTTAAAGACTCTTTTCAGTGAAAATCAAGTT